TTTTGGCTAACGACAGAGGGGACACCTCCCTCTCCTTCTCTCTTCCCCGTTGTGCTCGGTCGCGGGAAAATGCTCCGCAGTTTCCAGACAAAGTTTACTAATACTTTTTTTTCTTGATTAGTAAATTTACTATTACCTAGCAAATTCCAGAGAGAGCCCAGTATATATATATACATTTCTTTTTTTTTAATTCCCGAGAACGACCTTCAAAAACTTTCTTTAATATCATGTTTACTTTGATGAACTTTTATTCCTGCGTTGTAGCTGGAATAATCCAATGTACCATAAATTTCTACCTTGGGATTGAAGCCAGTACATGTTTAATGGTGCACTCAGCTGGTTAAAAATAAAATACAGCTTTCATGATACATAGAAATAAAATGTAGATTGTTAACATTCAGTGGTCCACACGTTCCCCAACCCTAACCTTAATTTATTAATATATTTGTAACAAGAGTCGTGCATTGAACAAAAAACGAAGTAATTCACAATCTTGTCGAAAGAGGACAGTACAAGTTTTAACCTCATTGTCGCCATTTTGCAGTCCACGTAAACGAAGATAATTCGGGAATGTTTTTTTTATCAATAAATAGTTGATATCGTGTCACATGTGAAGTTTATTCATCCCGAAAGCATTTGGTATGTAATGAATTTATCGATAAGATCGTATTTCCGAGAGCTAACTACGGACCCTTGTATTCTACACTACACGAAAGCCAAATGATTGAGCCTTGAGGTTAGCCATGAATACACGAGAACGGTTAGAATCGTGTCTTGTTTCTCTATAGCTAATATAGACACAGAGTATATCACAGTTGTACTTGCCTTTGAATATCTTCTAAATGCTTCTAAATTTACAACACACACAGTTCCCTTGAAACTAGAAGCCTAATATCTGCAACAACAAACACTCGTTCTGGCATTGACGCTGTAGGTCGGCGTCTTTTCAACACCGATCTGACGCATATCGCGCAAGGGGTGCCGGGAGTTTGTTCAATGTCAATATATCAAATCGTTTCAGGGGCATATTTACTAAATATTGGTAAATGAAACTTAGAAATATTGTAAGAGCAAACTGGTCCCAAAATTGCGCAAATTTGCAATAAGAATACGCTCCTAGTGTCTGGTTCGGAAGGCGTTCTACCATAGACAGTATAGACGTTCAAGTTTCACGCCCGACTCGGAATAACATGTTCAGTTAATTAGATTAAAATATGCATGACTTGCGTTAGAAAAGTGCAATCCTTTCCTACATGCCAAAGCATTAGTTTCTACAATAAATTACTAACTTTATAAACTTACTAGAACGTTTGTGTTCTATGG